GGAAGGGGAGGAGCAGGGAGAAAATCCCAAGCAGGTTCCACTCCCGGCATCAAGCCCAACATGGGGCTCAATCTCACAACCTTGAGATCTTGACCAGAGCCAAAATCAAGAGTTGGACACTTACCTGAGCCACCCAGGCACCCCTCGAGAGCTTCTTTATCAGAATACATTTGAAGGGTTCTACAGTCAAAAAAATTATAAAAGTTTGAAAACTATCTAGCCTACCCACCCTCTCCGCCCCAGTACTAAGGGGCAGAGCTGGGCAGAGCACTCATCTCCTCAGTACAGTCTACTGTTTGATGTTAAAGTGAGGCCATAAATATTGCGAAGTGAATGAAGCTTATGGTTTTTAAGGGATTTTAGTAAGAAACTGCAGAAAGCAACCTGTGACTTGGCTGGCCATGTATTAATTGTGGTGAACTTAGTTCAAGGGCATTTCAGAAGCCTTCAGGTATATGCTGCGTCTTGGTCCAGCACAGTGGGGGTCAGTTATGTACCTTCACTCACAAGATCTTGCCCTGTCATTGAAAAGCTTTCAGGGGCACCTGGGTGGCTCAATCAGTTCAGCATTTCGGCTCAGGTCATGATCTCACGGTTCATGAGATCAAGCCCCACGTTGGATTCCAAGCTGACAGCGTGGAGCCTGCTTGCGATTCTCTCTCTCTTCCCCTTCCCGGCTCACAAGTATACATTCTCTAATATTAAAGTTTTCAGACACACAGCTATCTATATACAACTATCTCAAAGAATAGCAAAAGAACGTTTGACAAGCCTTAACCCTTAGAAAAACTTTTAGCTTACATTTTCTCAGCCAGCTGGCCTTTGAAATTACAATTAACAAGCAGCAGACACTGGAAGGAATTTCATAAACCATCAGCCCAGTTCTATCTCCCTGGCAAAGTGGTTTTCTCACATCTGAATCAAAAACATAGGGGTACCTGGGTGGCTCAGTCAGTTAAGCATGACTCGTGATTTTTGGCTTGGGTCATGATCTTTCCATTGATGGGATCAAACCCTGCATTGGGCAGCTCTGTGCTGACAGCCCAGAGCCTGCTTAAGATTCTCTCTCTGCCCCTCCCCTGAACCTGCATACTCTCTCAAACATTTAAAAATACAATAATTAAAAACTGCCACTTTCAGACAGTAGATATGGGCCTGATCAAATTAGAACTCCCCAATGTCCAGCCATTTGTGGACTTCTACCAGCTCTAGGATCTATTGCTGGCAGACCATTTAGAAGCAGAGATAACTGAACAGGACTGATACAGCTTTAAAAGCTTCAAATCGAAATATAGAAAGAGGAGAAAAAAGAGGAAATATAGAAAGAGGAGAAAAAGAAAAATGAACTATGGGAACATCTTCAGTCTGTTTATATAAATACAAACCTAAATCAACTCAGTTGTATTGTTCCACAGAACCTCATCCTTCTTCCCTGCAGCAAGCAGGGGGAAAATCCTCCCATTTTAACTACTGTAATAAACAGGGAAAACAATGGTTTGCCTCTTTACCCTGAAACTTTCCCAATCCTAACACAGCTCAATTTCACTACAATTCCTAAAACCCCAAGTTCTGGTAATAATCTCCCAAAGATATTACAACCTAATGCTATTCTTTTTTTTTTTTTCAACGTTTATTCATTTCTGGGACAGACAGAGACAGAGCATGAACGGGGCAGGGGGGCAGAGAGGAGGGAGAAGCCACAGAATCGGTCGAGGTTCCAGGCTCTGAGCCATCAGCCCAGAGCCCACGCGTGCGCGGGGCTCGAACCACGTGATCAGACCGGGCTGGAAGTCGGACAAGCTTAATCGGGACTGCGCCACCCAGGCGCCCCAACCTAATGCTATTCTTAAGCTGGAGTCCTCTCAACTCTATCCTCTCCTTCTGTGCTAGCAACAGCTCAGCTGCTCAGAAATCCTAATTGCATCTCACAGATCCAAAGTAAAATAAAAAGCCTGACTTCACGTGAACACTGAAAAGTAATATAGGGAAACCAGAAAGCCAGGACTTTCCTTGCAGCTTCCCAAGATGAGCGTGGGTTGTTTCAGCCTCCAGCATATTTCCTTTATACCTACAAAAGTCAAGTCTGCTATATTTGTTTTTCTTCATAGAAACGACTTAAGTCTTCTTAAAATTGATAGCAGGAAACCTTTAATGAAAGTTACTTATCCACAGCTTTAATTGGGTCTTTTAACGAAAGCCTCAATTCACATTTAATTGTTAATGGGGTTTCTAAGTACAGCTAGTTAAAGCACAGCACAGCAGGCTTACACGTTTAAATTCCTGCAAAGACTTTATTAGAATCACATGGACGGCTGCTGCTCAGAAACTTTCATTTTCCTTTTTAAGACCACTTTTAATCTTGAGTGTCCTTTTGGGACAAGGCAGGAAAAGGCC